TGGACGGGAAGACGTAGGCCCAGTAGTTGGGGTTGTCGGGCATGATGGCGAAGAGCAGCACGCTGAGCAGGTTGCCCGTGCCCGAGATGGCGAGCAGCACGCGGCCCGGCAGGAGGTGCAGCGTGAAGCCGCCGACGGTGCCGATGACGAGGCCGCCGAGGATCATGGGGACGTACCAGACGGCGGTCAGCAGCGGCGACATGTGCAGCACGGTCTCGATGTAGAAGCTGGAGTAGAAGAGGAAGAGGCCGAAGGTGCCGTACGCGAAGAAGAGGGCGAAGGCTAGCGTCTTCATGGACTTGGGGGCGAACAGGTCGGCGGGGAGCAGAGGGTTCGACGCCACCTTGGCCTCGACGTACCACGCTCCGACGAGGAAAGCCACTCCCAGAACCAAGGTCACGATGATCTGAGGGCTGGCCCATCCCTGAGGCGCGTGCGAGCTGTCCGTGATGGCGTACACCAGCAGCAGCAGACCAGGCACGATGGTCGCAACGCCCCACCAGTCCATGCTAATCTCCTGGCGCTTCTCACGCAGGTCGTTGGGGATAGTCAGGAACGACACGGCGGTAATGATGCCGAGCACGATGCTGCCGAGCCAGAAGTACGCACGCCAGTTGAGGAACTGGCCCGAGACGCCGCCGATGAGGATACCGAAGAAGAAGCCGATGGGGGCGAAGGCGCCGTACAGCGCAAAGACAAGGTTCTTGCGCGGGCCGGGACGGTAGATCTTGCCAAGGAGCATGATGCCGGCCGGGAGGTACGCGGCGGAGCCGAGACCCTGGAGGGCTCGGCAGAAGATCAACATGAGGTAGTTGTTGCTGAAGGCGGCGATGAGGCACCACACGAAGAACCAGGCCAGGCCGATGTTGAAGACAAAGTACCCGCCGTACATGTCACCCAGCCTGCCGAGCGGCAGCAGGAAGGCGCCGGTGACGAGCGAGAAGACGCTCGAGGGCCATGTCTGCGAGGCGGCCGGGATGTTGAGCTCCTTGGCGAGTGGAGGCAAGATGATGTGGAAACCACTGACGAAGTACTCCTACCGCGGGATCGTCAGAATCTAGATCTAGCCCGAGCGGGCGTGGTTGGAACCACCGTGATGGGAAGAGACTTACCGCCATCAACATGGATCCCAGCAGGGAGAAACAAAAGCCGATCTCGGACCATTGGGACTTGAAGACGGCCGGGCGCTGTCGGCCGAGAAGCTCGACGTCGAACGAGGTTGCGCTTCTGCGGTCGCCGGGGCCGGTGGCATCCCGCTCGGTATCGTTGTGCCGGGCCATCGGGACTTTCACACCGGAAGAGGGGGTTCGTCTGTTCGGCTATGTAGTTACGGGTCGGTTATGTATGTCGTCTAATCTAGTGACGTGATTGCAAGTGCAATTGGGGAACGATGATTAGGTTATGTCATGTATGTGTACAGTTTTCTTGACAGCATGAAAAGAGTCAAAGTCGCATCCATTACAAGAAGAGCAGAACCCATTACGGGACCATGCAATGGCTAAATATTGGGCAGGCTGGCAGCAGGCCATCGAGGTCCCGAGTCACTGATGCAAAGAATTTCTAATCGGTCGCCATCGATGTGGAGAACAAAGAGGATTCGCGACCAACGGGCCACGGCTTGGAACCCGCCCCAACACACGGGCCGGATGGGGACTGGGGGCGACGGGATCCTAGGCCACCAACAAAGCGGTCTCCGGAGACTGCGAGATTGCGCAGATAGTAGAGCCTCGTGAGGCACGACGGCGGTGGCTGCTTGCTTGCTGCTGCTGCTGGGTGGGCATAGTTTGCGCCTTGGCTTCCGTTCTGGGCGAAGGGCGTCATCTGTCAACCTGAAAGTAGTGTTGGAGGCGGCACGTGTAAGAGAGTTCAGATATGTTTGCTTGGAAACACGGGCAGACGGGATAGCCCAGCGTTGTGTGGAATCTGTGACGATGGAGTGGTAATCGAGGACACACGGATATGCTTACGCGATGAGAGCCAGTTTATCGCATATTTTGCCTCTTTTGGGCGTCATGGTGCTGGATATGACAGCCTCGATGACACAACTAGAGAGATCCGGGGCAATCTGGCACCTGCCGGGCTGTGACGCCAGGGTCTTCTTTTCTGGTCCTCATGGACGTTCGAGAGCGTTCGCTTTGGAAACATCCGATGGAATCATGGAAACGCGGAAACTTCAGAGGGTGGTGGCAGACAATGGAGGATGCGCCTCTTTGTTTGGCTGTTGGCTGGACTGGTGGGGCTGCTCAACTGCCGAACTGGGCCTAGCTCCTTCTTTCCTGGTGTCTGATTCGCCAGAAAAAGAGTGTCAAGAGGAAAGAAAAAGGTGACTGCAACGAATCGTTGGAATCCAAGACTTGGACCGTGCGTCATCTTGCTCAACCTTACCTTCGAGAAGAAAGAGTGGGGTCCATATGCACGCTGTGCTGCTGGACTTCCATTCTGGGACTAGCGCAACTGGCACTCGGCCGGGGCCAGCAGGACGTGCCCCGCGCTCTTTTCCGCCGATGCGGTGTCATCGGCCGCCGAACCAAGCGTCTGCTCGCCGTCACTCTATCGATCCGCCATCCAACTGCACCGCACCGCACCTTCATCCCGTTTTCCAACGATTCCACATACCGCACAGCACCTTACGCCCTGCGAGTGACGCGAAACCCTTAGGTTCTGCCCAATCTAATCAGATCAGTCGTCTCATATCTTCTGACAAACGGGCAGCCACTCACTCGCTCCGGAATCCATATTCCCACACCTTGGCTACCCCTACTGTACCAGTCTGGGCCCCCCGGATTACCAATCTTGGATTTCGCCTCAAATCTGTCATGCATGTCTTGATGCTTCTTTTCTCAATCGAGGCAGTATCTGCGCCAACCCAACCACAACCCGGTCATCCCAACGTCTGCCCATAGCTTCCTTCCCATCTCGTTGCTTCACACTGCCTCACAACGTCCGCGTCACTGGCCCTGCCGCCCTTGTTACGTTATCATTACCACCACAATACCAATCTACTCACATCTTGATATCTCTCCCATAGGCTGTTGCAGGCCCAAGAGGAACCTGCAGCTTGGGACGCCCGCACGCACGCGCGCGCGCCCAGACCCAGACAAGACACGCACAAAGGACAAACGCGCACCTTGATAGCCCGCGCGTCTGTCTGGCTTGCTAGCTGCAATGGCCCGCATCGACATGCTGAATGCCCCGACAAAACCATGTCACAACTGCCGCCGCCGCCGCCTCCGCTGTGACCGTTCCTACCCCCACTGCCACAAGTGCACCGCGGCCGGCCAGGAGTGTCTGGGCTACGGCAAGCTCTTCCGCTGGACAGAGGGCGTCGCGAGCCGCGGGAAGCTCGCCGGCAAGGCCACAATCACCTTCTCCTCCGCCCCGGGGCCCGAGTCTCACTCGTCATCCCTCCAACTCGCCGATCCGGCAGCCTCCTCCTCGTCCTCCTCCGGAACCCAGCATCCAGACCTCCCGCCGGCGGCATCCTCGTCGTCCACCGAGCCAGAGTCCAGCAGCGCCCTCGTCGTCTCCGCCGCCGCCGTCCGCCCCGGGACCCAGTCGGCCCCATGGACCCTCGTCGACCCTCTCTTCCAGGATGTGGAGCATCACTACCGCCACTACCTCTCATATTGTACATCTCACACCCCATCTCCTCCTCCTCCTCCCACCGCGGAACCAACCTCTCGGTAGGACGCGTCCGAATAGAGTAGGCAAGCTAACCGTCTCGGCCTAGTCACCACCCGCGTCTGCAGGGATCTCGTCTCCTGGGACGTCCCAGACCGTAACCCCTTCCGCTCCCTCGTCCCGCTGACGAGGGCGCACCCCCTGCTGCAGCACATCATCGTCGCCGCCTCGGCCGCCCACATGTCCAACCTCTCCCGCGCCGTCTCCTCGGACCCGGTGGCCGACCTCAACGCCCGCCAGGCCCTGAACGACGCCCTCATCGCCAAGCACAAGGCTCTCCGTCTGCTGTCGTCTGCCATCCAGAGCATCGGCAGCAGCGGCGGCGTCAGCGGCGACGTCGTGCTCGCGGCCGTGCTCTTCTTCGTCAACGTCGAGTTGATCGAGAGCGGGCAGTCGGGCTGGAAGCCCCATCTCGAAGGCGCCGGCCGCATCATGGCCTTCCTGCCGCCGGTAGGCTCGGCCGATGAGGCCTTGAGGGACTATGTCATGTCTGATTGCTTCATGTGAGTTTCTCATGTCATTAATGTCGTGTGATGCTATGTGATGTGTCCCATATTTGGTAATGAATTATCTAAGCTAATCCTGTTCAACCAAAGATATTACATCTTGGCTTCGGCTTTCAACACGTCCCCGCCTACCGCTGCCAAGTCCTACTACCAGTCTGTGCAGGCGTCCTCTATCCTTGGAAGGGCCGCCGCCAACAGCTATCTGTGTTGTCCGCCTGACATTTTGCAAATTCTCCTCGACGCCTCCCAGCTGTCAACAACAGAGGCAGATGACCTTGACTCTACTGCACAGGCTGGCGCGCAGCTGCTAGAGAAAGCTTTGGCCTTTGACATTGAGAATTGGGCGTACGAGCAGCGGAACATTTCCTACTTCCAGCAGATCCCAGTCGAGAGCCGCATACACGCCGGTTCTGCCCATCGTATCGCCGCCAGCTTGTACATCTTGCACAGTGTTCCGGCGATATCAAAGCTCGTGTCAGTCAGCCGCGACGAGCTGGATTCGGAGCTCTACTACCATCTTTCCTCCATATCCGACGAAGATCCCAACTTCAAGGCGACTTGCTGGCCGACATTCATTGCCGGCGCAGGTGCGTCCAATCCCGACAGACGAGCATGGGCACTCTATCGGCTCAAGAGGCTCATGGTCGCGACACCGTGGGGTTTCATCACGACTGCCATGGACACCTTGCAGACCATCTGGAGTTTGGAAGAGTCCCTCGACCCCAGCACGCAGACAGAAAGGAGCTGGGTGCAGAAGCTCAAGTCCTCTGACCTCAACTTCCTCATCGTGTGAACAGGGCAGAGCAGAGCGCATTACAGCCGAGGGCTGGTTGCGACGGCAAATTGGCCGCCGGCATCAATGAAATTGAGCTTCTTCTCTCCTAGCTGCTTACTACGGACCAGCGTTGGTGTCTTCACGGTGTCCGTCGTGGCAAGACCCGTGTTGTAGCTCGCTGAAAATCCCCAAGCATGCATTTCACCTTCTTTTGAAATGGTGTAGCAATTATCGATGCCTGCTGCAACGAACACAGCCTTGAGGTCTGCCCAGCCGAGGTCAGTCTTGTCGGGGCTGTCACTGGATAGGGAATACTTACCGGGAACGACGGCTGGGACGTTCAGCACCCGAGGGCGGTCCCTCGAATCGAATATGATGTGGTCTTCGGGCAGCGTCTCGAGCGGCATGCCCATCTGGCCGTCGTCGGCTCGACCCCAGACCAGCACTTCGCCTTCCTCGGTGCAAGCAACGGTGTGGTGCAGTCCACATCCGATGTGGCGGATCTTGTATCCCTCGAGGCTCTTGATGACTGTCGGCGAGATGACAGTCGTGAACCCGGTGTCCTCGCGTGTCGAGATTCCACACTGGCCAAAGTTGTTCAATCCGAATCCCCAAACCTTGCCGGTCGTGTCGATGGCGAAGCTGTGATGCGACCCGGCAAAGATCTTGGCCGTCTTGTTCTTGGGAAGACCGACGCGCTGAGGGACGAGGGTCTCGAAGCGCCGGCGTGCCAAGATGCGCCGTCCCAGCTCATTCTGCTCCCCGGACCCCCATGCGAAGACATTTCCGTCGTTGGTGAGAGCAAGGATATGATCTGATCCGCCCGCGAGCTTTTTGATATCCGTGAGCCCTGGGATCAACACTGGCAATCGCTCCGTCGTCTTGGGTGGCTTCTCATGGAGGAAGCCAAAGTTGCCATCTCCGCCCTGCGCGTGGTTAGCATGGAGTACTCAAAAAACGGGCGATGCAACTTACGGCAAAGCTTCCCCATCCGTACACTTTTCCTGCAGCCGTCAACGCAAACCCTGCGCTGTTCGTCGCTGCAACTTGCACAACATCGATCTCCTCTTCAAAGTGGACGGCTTCGGGAGTACTCTCGAACGGGTCCAGGATATCCTCCTCGTCCTCTTCGGCCTCCGCTTCGGACTTGGAGGTAGGCTTCACGCGTCCTAGGGCACCGTCATCGTTGACGCCCCAGGTCAACACCTTGCCGTTGTGGGTAAGTGCAACACAATGCATACCGCCAACTGCAACTTGTACGACCCCCAAAGAGTCGGCATCGAGCAGGCGGTTGAGGCGTGGGCGCGGCGCTTGTGTATGCCGGGGGCCAAGACCTAGCTCGGAGTTTTCGCCGCTTCCGATGACGAAGACGTCGAGTTTCGTTGTAGGTCTCGATGTCGAAGCTGGTCCTGGGCTCGGTTGTTTGGGTTTCGTTGGGTGTTGGTCCCGTTTGGTGCTTGCCGTTTGGGCCTATCGGTGTAAGTCGGCATCGATACCGCAAAGGCATGGAAGGAGTGTCAGGCGGCACTTACCTTGGTACGAGACGGCAAAGAAGTCTCCATTCTGTTTTCTTCTCTTCAATGAACTTTTGGAAAGAATACTAGCGACAAGAATACTAGCGACGAAAGAATCTAACAAACTTGTATGTCATGTCTTCTCTTGACGAACGCTGAGCACCGTGCCAATTTGTATGGCTGCCGCAGGCGATATGGAAGGAAGCTCAGACCACAATCCTCGGACTTGCTTACCTCACTCAGTACGATTAGTCACCATGCCGTTCCAGGCCCTACAGCTGCTGCCTGGTGGTGCCTGCACCAATTAGCCAATGAGCACGCCGTCTTGCACCTTCACGTCGCGGATGACTAATGCGCGGCAGGAAGAGATGCAGGCAAGCAGCACGTCTGACACGTTGTTCCATACGAGGCAGATTTCCAGAATGGTAATGAATCCTACAAGACAAAGCCTGCTTCTAAATCAACCTTGGCAACTCACTCCGCGATATGGCAAGCGCTAAGGGTGCTGCTCGAACTCTCGAAAGAGTCTTTTACAGTCCGGATGCTTGAGAAGCGAAGAAGAACATTGACCGAGTTCGCCTTGTCATTCGTCCCGCTGGATCTTGCGCCTCCAAACGGATGCGCCCCGATGACTGCCCCAGTGCACTTGTCATTGATGCAGAACATGCCCACCGAGTCCCTCAACCTCTCATTCGCAATCCCGATGGCCTCTCTGTCGCGCGAGAAGAAAGACCCCGCCAAGCCGTACTCACTCGTGGAGTCGATGAGGTCGCAAACGTCCTCAAGACTGCTCGGCAGTGAATCGTTGTAAGTTAGCACAGCAAACAACGGCCCGAAGAGCTCCCGCGTGAGTAGATCAGACGTGGCGGTATTGTCGTTCTGGTTGGCCTCCAGGATAGCCGGTTGAATGAAGAGGCCTTTGCTGCCGTCCCGCTTGCCTCCAAAGAGGAGCTGATGACCATCCTTCTGGGCATTCTCCAGGAACTCACCGAATCGTTCGAAAGCTGCCTCGGAAACTATCGGCCCAAGTGGGTGATGGAGTTGCTTGACGTCGTCGCCATGCGTCATCTTGGCCGCCTCTCTGAGCAACGCCGCCTTGAGATCACCCTGCTCCCACATCGACTGGGGAACATACAGACGGGACAGCGCGCTGCATTTTTGTCCTTGGAACTCGAAGGCCGAGCGGACTGCAGCGGAAGCAATCCAGTCGACGTCTTCTCGACACGAGTTGTGGACGAGGTGGAAGTTCTTGCCGCCGCTCTCGCCCACGATCCGCGGGAAGGTCTTGTAGACTTGTGTGTTTGTCCCAATCTGCGCGAACAAGTTCTTCAGAACCGCCGAGGATCCCGTGTAATGAAGCCCAGAGAAATGGGGGCTCGCGAGCGCGGGCTCGACCACAACTGCAGGATCTGCCGTGGGAAGGAACTGGACCACCCCCTTGGGCAGCCCGGCTTCCTCCAAGACCTGATACAGGATGTAATTCGACAGCACAGCCATAGGCGACGGCTTCCAAAGCACGACGTTCCCGAGAATGGCGGGGGTGAAGGCGATGTGCGCCCCCAGCGCGGTGAAGTTGAACGGCGAAACCGCGAGCACGAACCCCTCCAGTGGCCGGTAATCGAGGCTGTTGTACGCAGAGTCGGACTGTTTGAGCGGCTGCTGCTGGTACAGCTGGTGGCAGTAGTAGACGTGGAAGTTGAGCGTGTCGATGACTTCGGCGATGCAGTCGCCTTCCGCCTGCCCGCACGTCTTGCCTTGGCCGAGCATCGTGGCCGCCATGAGCTTCCACCTGTACTTGGTCTCGACGAGCTTTGCGGCGCGTTTGTAGATGGCGGCGCGGTTGCTGAAGGGCATGTTGGCCCATTTGCGGCGCGCCTCAAGGGCACCGGGGATGGCGCTCTTCTTGATGGTCCCTCGGTCGACTTCGTGATACTCCGCTAGTGGGGCGCCATGGTGGTTCCAGGGGTTCTTCTGCGCACTCTTCCGGCCGGTATAGAGGCGTTCGCCGTTTATGATGCTGGGGATTTCAAAGGTCGTTTTTTCGGCCTCGGCAAGGGCAGCTTTCAGAAGCTTGCGCTCCTCTGAACCGGGGGCATAGGAGAACTTTCGCTCCAGCTGTCAGTGGTGTAGATGCGCTGATGCGATAGGTTGGAACTCACCCCGTCGGTGTTGGCCGGCTCTGGATATCTTGATAGTGACATTGTGGTTCAGCAGAACGAAACTGTAGGAAAGCTTCAAACAGTCTGGAAAGTCTACAGTGGCATTTCATCAAGCTTTTTGCAATCCGACGTGCCTTAATATCGTCAGCTTGTAAACCACTGCTCGGGCCGGTTGGAGGGTGGGCGAATCAGCGGGGTAGATCGGCACCCCTCGGCATCGGAGAGGCAGGACCGGCGGTGCAGCAGCCGGCCGGCTGTCACTGAGTCCATTGAGAATAAGCTTGAATGTGGACGAGACGACATCTGGTATGTCTTTATTCCCAATGCGTTACGGCCCGAGAGCGTCACTGGTGAGGGGCTCGACAACCATTTACCTCGGCCGATTGGGACACAAGTTTCCGCATCATTTTCCAGGGTACAGTCACTCAAGCATCGGGCTATATGATATGACTAAAACGCGGACAAGTCGAAGGCCCTGAGACCTTTCGGCGTCCTGGGGCCAATTTATGGATGATGAAGACGGAGGCAACGCTTGTGATCTTAACACAATGACATCTTGGTTAAACTATGTGCTAATCGATACGATGTCCTATCCTCCAATATGACAAGTCCGCAGAAATAATCGCAAGTCACCGTTTAAACACAACGAGCTCCATCAACGAGAATCTCCACACCACTGATAATCGAGCTGGCCGGCTCAGCAAGGAAGAGAGCCACATTAGCCACATCAGAGGGCTCCACGAGACGCCCAATTGGGATCGCCTCACACTTGGCCTTGATAATCTCCGCCGGCACAGGGCCGTCCGCAATGCCCGCAAACTTGTTGAGGAGCGGCGTGTTGCCCGACGTCGGGCAGATCGTGTTGAACCGCAGCTGATCCCGGGCGAACTCCAGCGCCATGGACTTGGTCGCCGATGACACGCCGGCCTTGGTGGCGTTATACCACGTCTGTAGTGCGCCGGGCCGGATCGCGTTTTCGCTGGAGATGACGATGGTCGAGCCGGGCCCGTTCTTTTTCATCTCGGGGATGAGGATCTTGGAGGCGAGGAAGATGCTCTTGACGTTTACCTCGAAGGCGCGGTTAAACTCTTCGAGGGTCACGTCGATGCTCGATTTGTTGGGGTAGCTCCAGCCAGCGTTGTGGACGACGATAGAGGGCGCCTTGCCGAAGCGTTGAATTGAAGTTTCGAGCTGGCACGAAATTCATCAACATCGATCAGACGTGGCCGCGACGAGAGAAAGTAACTTACTGCCTTTTTCCAGCTTGCTTCTTCGGCCACGTTCGCCTTGATCTGATAAGCTTGGCTCTCAGAGTATCCATCAACCGGACCGTCAGTGGCCTGCAAGTCCAATCCCAGAACCAGCGCGCCCTCCTTGACGAAAGTCTCCAGGATCCCTCTCCCAAAGCCCTGAGTAGAGCCGGAGACGAGAGCAATCTTTCCTGCCAAACGACCGGTCATTTTGAAAGTTAGATTTAGGTTGAGAATACTTTGAAGGAAATTAGTCGAAGATCATTTTCCCAAGTTATCGACATTGTTCAGGCGCATTCGTCGGTGGGAGGTTTTAGATAGTCTTCTTGAATGACAGTCAATCCCCGGCCCGAGCTCCATGCGGGGGCGGGGGCTATCGGGGATGCGATCCCGGGGTCGGGTTCAACCCCCGATTGCTCGTACCTATGAATACTACCCCTCAGTCCCCCCGTCGGCCGGGCCGACGCTGTCACACAACACCGTACTCTTCGCACAGCAACGTCTCCATCTCACCAGCAAAAATGGCCCCATCAACCGCGACTCCGTCTGATTTACACCGCGCCCCCGTGTAAGTGCCGCCATCACCCGGCTCAAAGCAGAGAGCTAACACAATCTCAGCGCATGTCTCAAGTGCCGCGCAGCCAAGGTCCGATGCCTGATATCCCGACGGCCGGACCGATGCGATCGCTGCATATCCAATGGCAGCGACTGTGTCTTCACTCAGCCGAAAAGAGCCAGAATCAGAGCCCAGCCATATCCCCAGCCCCGACAGCGCGAGTCTTCTCCACGGCCACGCGTATTCGTATCTCCGCAGGACGAGGCCCGAGAGGATGTCATCCAGCCCACGCCGTCGTCGCATGCGTCACCCGCCCCTCCGACGCCGTTAAGCCATGATGCCCCTCATCTTGATGCCGGGCCTCAACCTCCCATTACTGCGGAGATACGTGCGAGAATCATTGCGACGCTGGCGACTCTCAAGGGCAAGAGAGGGGCACCTTTCAGCTTCATCACATCGGGCGACAGACCACCTTTCGGTGCAAGTAATGATCCTGGAGAATCTGGCAGGCGAAATTTCCAAGGACAAGCCAGCCAGCCATCTCAGCCGTCGTTGAAGCTTTCATGGCTTCTCACTCCGCTAAAAGTGGGTGGGCCTGGGCAGGCAACTATCGGCCAGGCTGGTCCTCCGGTAAAGATGCCCACCTACTCGGCCTGCATGAGTCTCGGACAGACTATCACGGATCCAATCGATAATGGGATCCTGAGTGAGCCGGCATCTATAGCACTGTTCGAACATTTCATGACCGAGATGAATGCAAAATGGGAATACGTCTTAGATCCCCACTTCGACACGCACAACGATGTTAGACGAAGGAGCCATCTACTGTTTGCCACAGTGCTGTTTTGTTCCTCCAAGTTTGCCAACTATCAAGACGGAGATCTGTCCCTCAAAACGGACCCCTTTCTTCAAACCCGACTGTGCAGCCTGGCTCGCAACCTGGCTGTCCGCACGTTTGCTGAAGGAGACAGGTCTGTCGAGACCATGCAGGCATTCTATCTACTCGTCTGCTGGAAAGATGAAGACGACGACATTTCATATCTTCATAGCGGCTACGCTTTCCAAATACTCCACGATCTAGACTTGGAGCAGAGCAATGGGAGTGCCCAGCAAACCGCCAGGCGCAGACGGGCTTGGCTTGCCCTGTTTCGACAGGATAAACAGCAAAGTATGTTCTTCATGAGGAGGGCCTCACTCAACCTCGGAGACGAGGAAGATTCCCCTCGTCTTCTTGACCTTCAGACCTGGTTAAAGATGCCGCATTCACTGCCGCTTGATTTCGTTGCTTGTTGCAGCGCGGATCTGCGACGTATTCAATCCAAGATACGCGTTATGATTCCTAAGGCATCCTCAACCATGCTTCCATGCCTCTCTGACCTCTTGGACTCTGAACTGAACAGATGGAAATTGACTTGGCAACCTCATTTTGATGGAAAAGGCAGGCTGCATCAGAACGATGATCTATCGCTCGACCAGAGACTGCTTTACTCTGGTCAGGACCATCTTTCGGCCCTTGTCGGGGTTTGGGAACAGAGTGTCAGGCTCAATATTTCGTCATTAATTTTGAGACAGGTCCTCATGACTTCAGTGACCAAAGATTCTCGGTCCTCTGAGCTGCCTTCAGCGCCAGCTTCAAGTCTTGGTTTCCCTGCCATGGGAGAGGGGCTTTCAACTGACACGCCTGGTCTGGCGAACAGTGTTCATGGCGCCTTGGGAACACTGCGTCAACTTCTGAAGTTTCCAACAGACGATCTTCGTCGGTCACCAGATGCTGTAACCCTTCTTGCACCAAATGCGGCACTCTTCTTATGTCTGCTGTTGTGCCTGCCATGCGACGGTATCCTTGGTCCATCATTCCAAAGAACCGCCGTTGGTCTCATAAAAGACATTAATCGGCATGTCAAGGACATGGTACGATCGCCGCAGGATATGGTGAACCTGCACGCGGCATACTTGGAGTCACTAGCAAATTTGTTGCAGCCAATGACTCCACAGTGTTCCCCGACTCTACAGGGTCACATGGGGTCAGACGTTCAGCATCTAGGCCTTGATGGAGATCAAATGCTCCTCGAAGAGACGGAACTTCAGGCAGCTCATGTCTTAGCTGGGGGAATGGATGTCTTTAACCAAAACACGGACATAAACAACGCCTTGCTCGGATTCACTAGCGAGCCGGAGCAGGCATTGCACATGCAAAGCTTCGCCAACTTGATGGACACGAGTTTCTTTTGGGATGCACCTCCAATGGCAGCCGAGAGAAGCTATGATTGAAGCGGTAACATGTAATTGATAGTAAAAGCTTGAAGATGATTGCAAGATGGTGCCATCCTTTGACATTTCGCATCTTAAGTGGAGTTGTCCGCACAGGAGAAGACACCTCCGATGAGACCGTCGTCGTATGACTTCTTGATGCTAAGGATTGTCGAGTAAGTACCTCCAACAATGATGAAAGCTCCAGATAGAATCATAAAAGCTCCCACAGCTACCATCGCGGCATCTTTCCATTCCCCTTTCCTACATGCAGCCATGGCCTCCACAAGCCAGTGCTGCTGCTGAGGCGCGGCGCTCTGCTCGCGTCTCAATATGGCTAGTGTGTCTGTGACCTTTACCGGCTTCCGCGCGACATAGAATAACAGCATGAACCCAGGAACAACATTCGTAAAAATGGGGTTGACCAGCGCTCCTACCAAACTCAAGAAATCGCTAAAGAAAGGCACCACGCCAACAATAACGAACCCGAATACCACAGTCACCAACATCGATCCTACCCATGCAACCCAGTGCTTGACAGTGTTTACCTGTAGGTGTCTTGTGCCCCGCAAGAACCTCACAAAGCAATACTTGGCCGCAATATGACTGTACAAAATCGCAGTCACAAGCAGCCCCGGTAGCGCGATGCCATATGACACCTTTTTGATAAGGGGTCCAGCTGATCCCAACGCCGGGCTCGCAAGGTACTGCCCAACCTTGGCGTATACAATGGTTGCGATTGCAATACAGGTCGCCACGATGAAGGCCTGACCGCAGATGAGTGCCCGCGTAAACTTTTCCGGGTGCTTCATTTCTGCCGAAATGGAAAAGAATGTTGCCGAGGCGCCCACTGCAAACAGCTGATTGGAGATCGCCGTCATCGCCTCGGGAAAGGTCGTCTTCGGAAACGCGCGGACATCGAGATCGATGGGCCCGCTTGCTGGACCGGCGGCTGGACGACTTTGAGTGAGGCAGGTTATAGCTGTTGTCCATATGGCGATGAAGATGACCGCGACTCCCACCCAACTGATCCAGGCGACCTTTTGAAGACCTCGAAAGCCAGTGCCGATCAAAAAGGCGGCGATGGAGGTAACGCCAACGAAGACAGTCGTACAAGCTCCATGGTCGGATAGGGCGTTGAACGCAACCGAGGTCGTGAGCAAACCTGCTCCAGCCGTCATGGCCAAGTAGAGGTAGTAGATGAACCCCACTACCTCTCTAGCCCCTTTTCCGAAGAGGAGCTCGCTGGCATCTGCTATGCTGTGCATGTGTGGGTAATATTGTCTTGCGTTGCCGCACAGGTAGCCGGCGATGGTTGATATCATGGCTAAGACAAGGAAACAGAGAATGCCGGGAAAGAACCCGAGGACATGAAAGGTTCGTGGGAGGCTGAGAGCCCCGAGGCCGATCTGGAATTTTGCGACAAGGACAGCCGCAGCCTGCCAGGATACGCCTCGAAAGTTGACCTCACCATTTTCGTTGCTAAAGACGTCCTCGAAGAGTTGTCCATTTGCTTGCGATTCGACAGTGCTTAGGTCATGGCCCTCTTTCGTGGTGTTTCCGTTGACGTCAAGAGCTTTCATGTTGGTATTACTTGACGAATGTTTCGATAAGCACTGGTAATTTGAAGCATGAATTATCAGGTCTCACCATCAGCATCCTTTTGTAGATTTGAAAAACTTGTCTGAATAGTACCATGATGCCACAAAACTCGGACCGACAGCCCCTGTTACCGGACCAGCAACTTAGAAGATAACAAGGCGGATTAAACTAGCAAGAGGACATATACGAAAGAAATCACTTGGGTTTCGAAGGGTACCATACGCTAATGAGAGACGTCGGCTTATCTTTCCAGCTGTAACAATGGGCGACCTCTTTGGACCCTGTAGCTTATAACTTTTCAGATAAGATAGGCTCACGCTCTTAAGCTCTTTTGCATTTGAATATTTTACCTAACAGAAACAAACTTTACACGACTTACATTACTGAATCCGGGGATAGTGGGGATGGGGTCCGGTGAAAAAACACGAACGATCGCTTTCCCCATTGGGGTTATTGCTTGCCTGCTCTGCTTCTGAAAAGGTCTTGGAGCTTTCAAATTATCTAATTGTAATGAATTTACAGTTAACAGCTCTCATCTAGGGCCGAGAGAGATACATGATCCGTGGGAGATGACCGTGGGGGTGGTCTTCTCCGGGCCGAGATGACCCACAGCCAAATACTCGGGCCGGTAACCTCATTCTATCAAAAGTAACAATGAAAGTAGCTTCATAGCTGATTCTACGTCTTCCGAGAGAACAACATTCTTTCATTTGCTCCTTGAAGCGCCTTCGCTGCATGTAAACGTGCCATATACCTGAGAAACAAGCATCATGGCAAACAACACTCCACTCAACGTTGCGGTCATCGGCTGCGGTCAGTTTTCCCATACCCCGTCACACAACTCGATGCCAGTTTCTAACACGCAAATCTACAGGCAACCTTGGTACCGCAATTGCAAAAGGCATACTGGACCCCTTGGACAAGCAAAGCCACACCATAAACCGGATTATTGCCACAGTCGGCACCGAGGCCTCAAAACGTCGCGTCGAGGAGGAGTTGTCTGATTCCTCGGCGCGACTGAAGGTATTTCTGCAAAAGGACAATGAAGCTGCTATGCGAGACGCAGATGTGATTATCATAGCTACAAAGCCCGTCAAGAGAAGTGAGGTCTTCGCAGCTCAGGGAGTCAAGGAGGCTCTTCGAGGCAAACTAGTCATCAGCATCATGGCTGGAATCTCCACTAAAGAGCTTGCCCGTCTGGCAGTCGGCGAGAAAGGTTCATCCGATAACCAGGCACCCTTCCAGGCTGTCCGGGTAATGCCCAACATGGCCGCCAAGATTCGTGAGGCCTTGAGCCTGTGCACGGCAGACTTCGATACACTTACGGACGCCAACAAGGAGATCGCAACGTGGATCTTCAACCAAGTCGGCCAAAGCCGCTTCATACCGGAAAGCTCATTTGATATCTCTGCAGTTCTTGTCGGATGTGCTGGATCACTTCTGCTTTTGGCTGTCGATGGCCTCCTAGATGCAGCTGTCGCTGAAGGGGTGAAGCGGCCGGAGGCGCAGGATATGGCTTTCACCAGCGCAATCGGTATGATGAAGTTGGTTCCTGCTGGAAACCATCCGAGCGTATTGCGGGAGAAGATCGCATCCCCCGGAGGTTGTTCAATTAGGGCACTATTGGAGCTGGAGAGGTTGGGGGTCAGGTCAGCATACACAAGCGCCATCATGGCAGCGGCGGCTCGTTCCAAGGAGATGTCCAACTCTTAGCTTATCGAGCCATTCGTTCGTCAATGTTCCTATTCTGACATCCTACGTGTTCCTTAAGCACCATCAGCTCCTTCAAAGTTCCAGGTTGACATGTTCATCTCGTACGTTCGCATCTTCCTTCGGCTGAGGAAACTCCTCAATGACCCATGGATCCCCAAAGATCGTGATTACGTTCGGTGCCTTGTCGTCGACATCTAGAAACAGAGAATAGAGGCCTTCATATAGCACCCGGTTTCCCACTTCATCGACTCGGACGAGCTGCTCCATCTTGATGACAACGTCCTCCTCCCTCTCCTCGCCAGGCTTGATATTGCGAAGACGCGTGTATCCGACCAGAGTCTTCTGAGGCCATGGCTTCGGACCGGCCTCCGATCGTAGGAACACGAGCGCAACATAGTCTGAAATCACATTTCCCTCGTTCTTGGCGGAGACGGTAATGGTGACCATGCGCCTTTCCAGGCCACGCTGCCAGGAGGGAATTTCAGAAGCGGCATCGTCGTTTGCTTCTGCGGCCATTTGAGCAATATCAATATTATGGACGTTCGACGCTGGCTTCATATCCACACTGAAGTTTGTGTAGTGCAAACCAAACCCGTAAGGGACCGGCGTTTCTCCAGTGTACCACCTGTAGGTGCGCCCAAGACCAGAGTTGCCAGGTCCAGGTCTGAGGTTCATATCGGTGGCTGGAACAGCATCATTGTATGATGCCGGGTACTGCGTGACGGAGAGACGACCAGCAGGCGCCGCGCGACCGAAGACGATGTCCAGAATCGCCTTTCCGCCTGATTGACCAGGGTACCCGCCCCAGAGAATCGCGTTCACGGAGTCGTTCGCAAGAAGCTCTGTGTCGTCAACCTGCCCGCCTCCAAATTGAAGAACAACGAGCGGCTTCCCCACTTCTGAGAGGGCACGAAGGAGCTGAAGTTGAGGCTCAGGCCACGCCAGAGTCTGTCGGTCGAGAGTCTCTTGCTCCAGGGTGTTGTCTACGCCACCCATGTAAATGACGACATCCGCGGCTTGAGCTGCCTTGATAGCCTGTGCGAATGATGAGTCGGACTTGTTCATCCTCGATCCAAGGAAGTAAGTGAAATCCAGGCCAAGGTCCTTGGCGGCCTTGCGTGGAGAGATGAGGTATGGAGCAGGACCGAAGTAGTTTCCTTGCATTTGCGTTGTCGCGCTAACCCATGGCCCGATGAGGGCATACTTCTTCGAGGAATCAGGAGACAGAGGCAAAATTCCATCATTCTTCAGAAGAACAGCGCCTTCGACGGCTGCCCGATACGCAAGATCTTGCGCCTCTTTGGTGTTGACCTCGTCCCAGCCTAGAGAGCGCAACGGGTCTTTCCTGTCCGAGTCAAACAGGCCGACCGACACGAGAGATGTATACATCCGCGTCAGTGCCTTATCCACGTCCTTCTCGGAAATGAGCGACTGGTTCCAAGCAGACTGAAGAGCCTCTGATCCGGGGAAAGCGTTGCATTCAAGATCCGTGCCTGCTTTCATCGACCATGCTGCGGCATGCCCCAAGTCAGGGGCATAATGGTGGTACGATACCATCAGTGCGACACAGTCACAGTCTGTGGAGACATACTGCGCATCCCCGTTCCATCCCCAGTGCTTCCGTAAGATGTCCTCGATGAGGTAGCTGTTCGCACAAAGAGGCGTACCGTTGATGCCGTTATAGCTGCACATGAAGGATCCGACGTTCTTCTCGACGGCACACGTCTTGAAAGGTGGAAGGTAGTATTCCGACAAGTCTTGAGTGCTGATGATGGCGTCGAAACCGGAACGGTCTACACCTCTGTAGTTCTCGAAGTCGTTGGCTGCGTAATGCTTGCAGGTTGCTATGAGTTTTTTATCGGGATCATCTCCTTCCAGGCCTGAAAGCATGGCTGAGACATACTTCTGCAGATGGAAGGTATCCTCGCCAGGAGTCTCTTGGCCACGACCCCATCGGGGATCTTTGAAGGCGTTGATGTTCGGAGACTAAGTTCGTCAGTAAGTTCAGGGACTAATGACATCGTGATCATCGGTTACTCACGTAGAGATCAAGCCCAGACCTGCCAGCGTTGCTGAAGGCTCTGGCCTCCCTGCTCACAACCTCTCCCACGGCCCGCACTAGCTCATCATCAAATGCAGAGCCAAGAAGAATCGGTTGAGGGAAGGAAGTCGCGTAACTGAAATTTCCTTTGGAGGTAAACTTCGTCCCTGGTGATCTTGCCACGCCGTGAAGTCCCTCGCTCCACCATTCATAGGGTGGGACCCGGAGCCTTGGAATACCTGGTGCTTCATTTACCAGGTTGTCGAGCTTCTCCCAGATGGTGAGTTCAGCGACCAATGCTGTCGCCCTCTGTTTGTCAGAGAGCGACTCATCGCAAACGTCATTGGAGCAGAGCGGATCTCGAGTGCATTCCGGGAAGTTTCCTGGGGCTTTCTCATCGGTTATGGGGTTAATAATCTCGTAAACCTCGATCCTATCCGTTGTTAGCTTTGAAATGCCAGTAAAGGATGTTTCCTAGATTTGGGGAACTTACATATTTTCTTCGTCGCATGGTATCAGCGACTCTGTACAAACAGTTCCAGATGCATCACATGTACTTTGCGCGTCGCTGATTTGGGATCCCTTGATGTTGATCTCATTCCCACAGACACACAGGCCTCCCCTGTATTGAATCAGTAACTCAATCAACCGCGCCGATGAGCACGACTTCCTCACCTATCGTATTTGATCCCTGCCAGCGAGTACCCAGCCTGACCACACAGCCTGGCGCATGACTCAACCGTGTTGTGTCGAGTGAGCGACACGCTGTTGATGAAGGCTTTCAAGTTCGGTGTGTCGTCAAAACAGCGCCGGGTACCGATTTCCGGCGCATACTCTAGTGCCGGAAGGCAGGTCCGCGAAGTTAGGGGCTTCTGGGCATCGTCGGCGTACGCTCCAGCCGTCAGGGCAATCCCCTGAATCAAGAGAATGAGCTCCTCGGTGCTTCTGAGCCTCATCGCGACAACCGATCGAAGCGATATGTTCCTCTGCGAGAGGGATGAGGTGAGATTCGTGTCGCCTTAACCCCTGATAGCAGTGTCGTATCACTACCCCGCGTCGGCTGCGGGGCCGCGAACCGCCCGGCCGACCTTGGCACAGGCGGAATGCCGCCCTTGTGTGACATGGGGATGTAAATCCTTCGCTGACAGTGGTATATAGACTCCTTAGAAAGCGCATAACTCGTGACAGCCTCAATTCGATTAGACGCACACATGCATTTCTGGTCAAAGCCCGGGTGATATCTTGCTCATCCATGCTCCCGATACACAATTGGCTCTTTTCCTGACGAGACGGACGGGATAAGTCGTGTTACCCATGCGAGACAGAAATCCTCGAGCTACTCTGTGGTTCGCGCTTGTGCTATTCGCGATGGCATGGTTGACATGATATTGCCGTTACCAATACTGTTCATTCCGTAGCCAAGCTTTCGCGACGGGCGAATAGGAGCTGATGATGCCAGCTTACATAGTCTATGATATGTTGGGAAATTCTCCAAATTGGAAAATGCCCTCCTAAGAGTAATTGAGTATCATGAGTCGTTTTAGTTGCTATTCTAGCCCATGTTACCAAGTTTGCCAAAGATTTCCGAACAAAAGATGCGTCAGAAACAGCATTATTCAATGACAACAGGTTCATCAAAGTCTCCAATGAGTCTCAATGTAGAATGACTCCGCCTCGGGGATACAGACATCACCAGATAAAAACGGCATTCGAATAATGAGACTTTGAAGCATGTCGCTTCATCTTTGATGCTTTTCACCTGCTTAGCAATATGAGACTACCAAATCTCAAATTCGACTTCTTTGTACCCTGCAGAAATGAGATCACCGAGGACTGCATTATAAAATCGACCAGTTCCACGAGAGCAGAACCCACTGATCAACTTCCATCCACCTGCATCTCGTGGTCGGAGAAGGATGGGGAAGTAAGCTTGCTTAACGTAGCATATTGCGTCTCCAAGTCGTGCTTCTTTGGGCACCAATCCTATTTCACCCTCGGAATCTAGACATAGAGAGTATCCATATAGCGACGGATGTATATAGTCAGAAACCTCAGTGTACGGTTCGTTGTAAAGCCAATGTTCTATCTGGCCGCTGCTGTAACCCTGGAGGCTTTGTCAGTAAATGTAACGATTTCGGCTGCGAATGGCCACTCCTTGTTTTCGCGTTGCCTCCTCCCGAAATGAGGACTCACGCGCAGAAGTAGTACCAGTATGTCGTAAGGGTCATAGTTTTGATTTCGGAATTCTTTAAGAAGCATTAGCGGAACACTGCGCTGAAAATTATGAGCAATATCGACGAACCTTGAAGAATCATCTCATCAGGGCTTCCATGGGCCGCTTCATGGTCCCAAGGGTTGCTGTTATCAATCCTACTCAGCATACTCCTCACTTGCCCTTCTAGCAGCAAGATTTCAGTGGCCATGAAGGGTGCTCCCATATGCTCCACCACCGAGGCCATGTAGCCCTCCACATGCATGACTGCATGGTTGCCTGTGCACTTTCCACAGGAACACATTCGAGATCGAATTGCGAAAGTTTTCCTTCCAGCTGGAAACAAGTCATCATCCAAATCATCTGGCCCGCCAATCGCAGGCGCACCCTGAATATGGAAATTAATGCATTGGTTTGTCCAGGACGGGACCCACGAAGGCATTGCCATCTGATGAGGATGTCTACTGAACGATAAAACTGAAAGATCAGACTCAGACTCAAGCAAGTACTGTGCGACCTTGAAGAACGTGAGTTCGAACCCGTCTGTGTAACTGATTAACTCGTCAAAAGGAGCGCCGCTTGCTTTTGTCAAACCCTTTAGAGCGAATATTTTATCTCGAGAATCGGTGGCTGCGCAGCCTAATGTTTTGGCGATGGCGTCCTTGAGTCCTTGCGCCTTCACCTCCCAAATACAACTCTTAAGCGAAAAGGGAAGCGGTTGCTGAGTTACCCGATTAGAATTGTAGCCAAACACGCATTCATTGAGTAGACTTGATCGTGAAGAGGATAGGCCACAAAGGATAGCGGCGTCAGGAAAAGTGGCAAGCTTTGAGTTGTTGGCCTCTTGAAGTACCCATACCCTATTGAACCATGGTCGCTCGAAGAGAGTGTCCATGGCTTCCGCCACTTCCGTTGAAGGAATCGGTCGTTCTAGATCCCATCCACGCGGTGTACGCACTTTGGGTGTTTGTTCTGCTAGTGCTAGTTCTTCAAAGAGAATGCGACTTGATGGCGTTTCCTCCCCTAGGTAGATGTCAACTCGATATGAAGCTGCGTAAACCTGACCCATCATGCGAACTTGATGTGTTTTTTCCAGATTGTCGTGTTGGTTTATGCAGATGGCGTCGATCCAGAGCAGACGAAAAGCCGTCTGCGAGCGGAGATTTCGAAGCGCTCCGTGGCAATTTCGAGTGACCTTGATCTGAGCTCCGTCTGAACCCAGGGTGATTGGAAGTGAATCGGAGGCGGCGCCCCATGTGTATGATGATGCTTCGTATTCCGGAAATCCAGGAGGCCGAAAGACTCTTTCGTGCCATTTTCTCGCGGGTTTCTCGATGGTGCTTTTGGTGTCATTAATGCTGACGGCGTCATCGTTGTGGCAAAGGCAAGCGCAATCGCCGTCGCTCTCTTCCTTCTCGCGCTCTTGTTTGTATTTATCGTGACCGCATTTGCTGCAGAGGCTGTCGTCGGTATCATCGTCTTTCTCACCCTCGTTCTCATCGGCGCTTGTATTCATATGGTTGTCATCGTTGAAGATGTTGTCTTCGCCGTCACCTAATCTGTCGCTGGGTCTACCATAGGCCTGCTCCGTGTTCTCGATGACCAGCTCTTGCAACTCAGCTGCGGGTCTATTCTCAGGTGCTTCTGCAGAATCACATGAAGATTCTCCATCAGAAACAGCAGAAAATTCTTCATCGATGGGACCATGGAAACAGTCCCCTGTGCATCCTCGTGGATCGACAGCTCTGCATTCCCATTCTTCTATCTTCGGCACAATCGGATTTTCATCTAGGAAGCTGCAGACAATCGGCGCATTTCGATCTTCAGCCGGATGCAGGTTGAGGATCCGGATGGATTCTGGATGCTGTAGAGGAGTGTATTGGCATACTGGGAATGTGATATCGGTCATGTTTCTCGTCAAGCTATTCAACAAGCGCACTTGTGTACTGGTTTCGACGATGGTCCGATGTAGACAGAAATAACGCTGCAGCCTTCCAAAACTGATCTGAAAGCACAAGGGAAAGGAAGGATGCTCGATGCTCAAGTTTACGAGATGATAAAGTACGGAGGTATGAAGAAGTCAACTCCACTTGGTGAAGCAGGCTGTGAATGCGAGTACCTGCGCCTTGCACATGCATAACAACTCAGAGCTATTGCGTCTTCGTGTCATTATCGACCTATTAGATGATTCGAAGGTATACCACTTGATGTTTGACCGCCAGGCTCTAGATGACAACGCATTTACCAAAATGATACTATCTATTAGTCTTAGGGAGGAAGCCTCATGGTTCATCACGGCCGCCTTGGAGATTGCCTAGCATCCAGGACAAACGGCAGTGATACTGTCAGACGTCTTTGAAAAAGTGGAATAAGCAGTCACCACAGCAAACTTAGAACACCACAGCCTTGCTTGTTCGTCCTCACGGACATGACTGATGTACCGTGACTCCCCCATCTTGTCTTGCATGCAAGACATACCCGCCATACGCTCAGACTCAGCAAGGGGGAACCAAGAAACAACAACCAAGGGAAACCGACAAGCTTAAGCCAGAGGAACCAAGGAAACCGGCCGGCAGGTCGGCAGGAGGCTCGAGCCGTAGAAACAACACCCAAATCCAAGTCAGACGTCGGCACGCCGCGCCTTCGGAAAGGCGAAACTTGTTCGTATGACAGTCGCTTACCTTACCCCGCGAACATTTTCTTCTCACGATATCTTTTACCCCGCCAACTGGAACACTGGTTGCGGGGACCATTCGCAGCCGACGGTCAAAGTTTGCAGCAATGGGCCGCCAACCAACCCCCCGTCCGCGGTCCAAGGGCCGCCTTCGATCTCGCACCACGCAAGCGGGCGAGCGGGGTCCTGCTTCGACTCGCCTAGCGTCCTGGAGGTTGGTTGGTGAGGCCGGGGGTTCGGGAAAGCGGGCGGCGTGGTATCAGCATCGCACACGGCGAGATCTTCCGCAGCAGTCCTGGAGTGACAGTCCGCGGGGCGCGATTCTCCCTGTGGCCGGCCTACCTAACCAACAAGCGCCCGCGTGTCACCCGGTCTGCGGTCGCCGTGAGCTTGTGTGGCACAGCAGCAGAAGCTCTTTTGTCATTGTTTCGAAGTGCTCAGCTTCGCATGAGAATCCGTCGGGCCTTTTGCGTCGATTGATGAGACGCTGTGCTCGCGTAACCAGGTTGCGTTTGGCGAAAGGCCGTTGCAGAATGTCGAGCGCTCCAGCAGACGGCTCCCGCAACCGGGGACGGACGTGTAAAGACACGATTGGCAATGGGCCGCGAGACTCAGACCTTCGCGGGTGGAGTGTTCAGACGGGATATCGACCGACAGAGGAGAACGGCCAGGGGAACAGACTCGCGAAACGGGCTGGGCTGACAGGGCATGCTCGACTTCTGTTACATCAGGCACAAGAGACCCGTTTTGCTGCAGCAAAGGATTTGGACAAGATGCGGTCAAGCGACTGGCGCAAGCAGTGAACCGAGCTCCGAAGGTCAACCTTGCCAGGCCAAGGTTCGGGGGCACGAGGGGCGTTTATCTTAGCAGTATTTGCTTTTGCAACGATATGCATATGCGTCTGTTAGGAGGATCAACATTGGGGGCGAAGATGTTACAGCAAGACGTTGGTTGTTGTGCCCATAGCATGGAAACATTGCGGCAAAAAGTGTGTGATCTCCATCTGGCTAGCCAGTCGCCATTGAGATGATGACTGCCCACCTGCAAAAGTCTGGAAGGAAAAAACAAAATAAGAATTCCAGAAGCACTAGCAAACTGGTCCCCGAGAGGCACAGCTTTTTCCAATTGCATGCACTGCAGCCCAAGGATGCAGGATCGGCCTCTAGACCCGCCGTAACCTGCCGGAGCGTCTCTTTTGAGCTCTGATCGCGAAAAGCCCGCATACTGCCGGCCGTGGTGCGGTATCCGAACAGATGGTGTAGCATCGATATTGAAAAGAAGACGTGAGCAGGGTGACGAAACACCGCCGCGATGGGGCTGACGGCGAAATCACCCACTACAGATCTTGGTTAGCGGGGCTTTGATCTGGATCACCGATTCTTCTCTTCGAGTGGTTGCAGCGCTCGGGGTTCAAGGGTGATGGCTCAGAGGTTGCAATCCAATATGGAGAGGACATCATCCGTGCTGCCATGACGGAGGGAGGAAGAGGCCAAAGCTCCGTCAAACTCTTCAGCCGTCGAGCCTTGGAAGGCAAGCCGTCTGAACCATCCATAGGCTGCACGCTTGACGGTTGTCCGAACTCTGTCCGCCGCAGGAGGAGCGACGATCGCCGCCGACCGGCCGGACGAACAGTCATGTCGAGATGGGCGCTTGAGGGTCGACTGCAACTTTCGCCTCCAACTCTTGTTGGCCCTGACGTTAATCCTGGTCTGCCGACGCCTGCTTTGAGCGAGGCGAGTTGATTTAGACTTTCCAACAGCAGCGTGTCGCGTACCGCCTCCAGGTCTTTGCCATGCTTGCAGCACATGAAGCGCCTTGTCTCACGGCGGAGGTCTGGCCTCGCTTTCTTCTTTGGCCATGTTTCGGCCGAGGGGCTCTGCGCAAAGAAAGACAAATGCCCTCATGTTATGCTTGTTGCCCCTGACGGCCGTCATATGACCGTCTGAACCTCTCAATTGTTGGGATTGTGCTAATTCCAATTTGCGTTTTGACGCGTCGCCGCACTGACGCACAGTCACTGACAGCTCCTCCTGTGCCATACCACCGGACGGAACGTCTCGCGAGGGAATCGTAAGCGTCAAGCACGCCTATCCAATTCGTCCAACATCCCCAAGCGCGACCATCGTACGGGACAGGAGGTCGCCAGGTCGGCATCCTCTGGAGCTTTGTGGGTATCACCAGGTGCTGCTATTGACAGGGCCAATTCTTAATCATGTGGTCAAAGTATCCCGGTCACGGCCTTGGCCCCTTCAGGTCGTTAATCTCACCATTGATGGACAATCGTGGGAAGCGAAATGCGGTCCATCGATTCAGCAGGGACCCCGGGTCGAACCATTGGAATCTTGTCTTCCAAAAGAGAGAATATCGACAAAAGAAGAGGCAATGTTTGCCAGCGCTTGAACCACCAGTTCTCCGATGGCAGACAAGTTCAGTCACAGTTCCTTTGTTCGTCGCTGCACAATTTGACAGCTGCAAACTATTGGCTTGAGGATTGATGGTGCAGTCGCACGTCCCCTGTCTCAATATGTTTGTCGGTTGAGGCGCTCTGGCGTGGCCTATGAAGCATGACACGCTCCTGAAGGAACTGTGCGTCCAATTTTGTTTTCTCGGGGACGTTGTGTTTGACACCATTTCCCTGTTTCTACAAAGCTGAAGGCCCTCTGGCAACCTGGGATGCCCTCGGTTGCGCTGGGTGTCCAGCTCGTGATGGAGGTGTACACGGACGCCAAGTCAGCCGAATACATCATCAAGCATGGAAGGGCCATCTTGGAGGGTGGAGGTTGGCTTCGCCGCTTGCGTGCAGCCCCCGAGTGCCAACGACCATGTCGGCACAAGGTCAATCCCACCCTGCGCTTCCAAATGCTTTTGCCAAAGTGGGTGAAGCCAAGCTGTCATCACCTTGTGGTGCCCCAGTTGACGGCGATCTATCTGAGCCCGTCGCTTCCCCAGCACTATTGGAATGCGATTTGCAGGCTTTGGGGCCCTATTGATGAAAAGCTCAATATCGAAATCTTGATCGTGGAGTCTTCAGGGCAGATATGGGACGGATCGTCACAAACTTCATCCGACTCTTCAAGGTGCGATGACGGCAGCCAAAGGGGTCTGTGAGCCGTGGGACGCACTGCCGTGATGTCCGTGTGCGTCCAAAGACGCATGGCCTTCTGTCGATAATGGCGCTTAACCGAATGTAGCCGCCGGTTTCTCGACCAAAAAGGAGGCTTGTTCGCAAAGATCCGACGACATGGACCGCCTACATGGAAACGCTGGACGAAGCCAGTCAGCGGCCATCACAAAAGCAATTGTAAGCCCCAAGAACAAGAACGGAGTGCAATCCGTTTGCTTTTGTCGTTTCGTCGCCCCTCCCACTTAACCCCAAACAAAACACTCTGGAGGGAAGGTGACGATACGCCACGAGTCATGGGGAGCTGCACTGTTGGACTGCCTCCATCGCCAACGGCGCGCCGCCAGCACAATGGATGGTCGATCGGGAACTTGCTTTTCCGCCCCCATAATCCTTAGCACAAAATGGCAAACAGCCCTCTTGAGATGGTGGCTACGGTTAGAATTGCTTTTGGTGGGTACGGGCGAAGTCCGCTGTTTCTCGCGGTTGAGTTTCGTGGGCGATTGTAATTACTCCCAAGTCCTGAGCAAGCATCTCAGCCACGCCGTCGTCTTCCAGGCTATTTTCGCAGCAGCAACAAAGTCAGTGGCTTCTCAAGTGGGCGGTGGGCACGTAAGTGGTCCAATGGTCTAGCCCCCGTTCAGAGAGACATTCCAGAATACGTGGAGCAGTCGTAAGGCCCAGGTGGTCTACTGGGTTCATGGGGCGTTCGTGACCACCTGCTGTGGATTGCCCCCCGTCTCTTTCGCAATGTTGCTGGGTTCGGAAAGGGCGGGATCGCAGTGCGAGACGGGAAAGCCATACCCAGGTAAGGCATCGAGCGACAAGCTGAGCTGGCGAGAGATGAGCAGGGCGGGTCGTCGGTCTTCGTGCGTAACGATGCCAGCAACCCTGTGGCTCTGCTGGGCAGAGCGTTTGCGTAGGCACCATACCACGCTGTGCTGCCACCAGTCCTTGGCTGCTCAGGCTCTTTCGGTTCAACATCAGCATCTTCTCTCCCAAGAAGGGTGGATCACCCGAGGTTGGCAAGTTGGCTGTCCCGCATCAGGCCGTTTCAAAAGACAGGTCGCCCACTACGTCCGATGCAGGGTCGGAACAGGCTGACAGGTCACTA